CAACTAGGCTGGTGGCAGGACTGACGTGCAAGCAGAAGGGAGACATAGGTGTCTGGTGCAGATGAGGGCTGAGCCCCCAGTGCTGTGGCTTTGGGAGTACAAAGATGAAAGCCACTTTGGAGGGGCTGGCCACCAGGTGACCTTGCAACTCTGTGCAAAAGTGGCAGCACCGGCCCCAAGGGACTGTGAGCTGCTCCTGCCCTGTCTCACGGAGCACCTAAGCCCGGCCTGTTGTCCAGCCTAACGAGGATGAGCACAAGGTATCTGCGGCACTGACAGCCATCAGCCTCCTCCCTGGGGCTCAGGAGGGGGAATAGGAGCCAGGTCAGGCCTGGGGAGGGATGTCCAGCGGCACGGGAACCCAGGGAAGACAAAGACACCTGGGGAAAGTCAGGGTGACTCCATGAGGCGTGGCCAAAAGCTGGGTTTATGTCCTATAGCATCCTCAGGGTGTCTCACGGGGAATGCCAGGAGAGCAAGGGCAATGACCCTGCTCTGAGGACATCTGTCCCCAGGCCCGACCTGGCTCTTGTTTTCCCTCCTCAGCCCCGTGGAGGAGCCTGATGCCTATCAGTATCCCAGACACCTCGTGCTCGTCCTCACCAGGCTGGAAGACAAGCTGGGCTTAGGCACTCCATGAGGTGGGGGGAGCAGCTCACAGGATGCTGCAAGACATGAGCCAGGGGACAGGCTGCCACCCACAGGTGCCAGTGGGCAGTGGGAGACCCCAGACCTCCATAGCAGGAGCCAGGCCATCCTCTCCCCTGGACACATCATGGCTCGCACTGGCAGCACTGCCCACACGGTGGCGGGGGGTGCTAGGTGGTCACTCTCACCGACAGGCGCTTCTGGCTTTAGCTTCAGAAAAAGTCCAGGGGACTTAGGATGGCCTCAGGCCTGACTGCAGGGGCGCAGTGCAGCCCAAGAGGGCCAGCGGGGAGGGCGAGGAACTGGGCAGACAGGCCCAGGCCTGGGCCATGGCCTTGGGAGTAGGCCCTAGAGGGGCCAGTGCTGGAAGAAGAGAGTACACCCCTGGGCACTAAAGACAGTCAGCATCTGTGTTCTTTAATTTGCCTGGCAGGGACTGGACACTCACGAGGGGCAGGGCACAGGCGACTCAAGGAATGCAGAAGGAACGAGACATTGCGCCTGTGTGCACATTCCTCCGGCCCATACGGGAAAACGCAGGGGCCCACACAGACACAGCCTGCGGGCAGCCCCCTGCAGGCAGGACCAGGGCTTCCACACAGGTGCCTCCTAGGGCCTGGTGGCTCCCTGACACAAGTACTCACTACACACCTGTTACATGTATGTAACACACATCCACACCCTTTATGTACAGCACATGCACACACATCTGTTTGTGCTTTATATGCTTTATGCTTACAAAGGTCACTCCTCATGTACCTGGAATGCAAACTGCCTCGCAGCTCTGCCCCAGGTGGGCCGCTCTCCAGGCCAGAGGGTTTGCATTTGTTCTGAGATTGCAAGGGGGTTTCTCCTTCTGAGGGAGGCATCCGGCTAAATTGTGACCCTTTCTTGTTGACGCTGATATCAAACATCTTAGATATTCCTCGGCCAAATTATCTTAGAATAAACAACTTGTCAAGGAACCGAGAGCCCAAAACGATAAGAAAGGGTCACAATTGAGCCCCTACATATTCTTAGGAAACAGAAGGGAATGTGTGTTAGGGCAAGCCGAATATTATTTAGTAAGGACTTTTCTCTGACACCTGTTGCTTTGCTCATCTCTAGATATTAAAGTCACACTAACCCCCAGCAAAGCTTCCGGCTGAGCCTGCAGGAGGGCTGCCCTGAAGGCCCGGGAACTGGCCTGTCGCGGGACATTCACTTCTTATCTTTCCAGTTTCCGATGAGTGAGTCCACTTATTGCTTCCGGCGGCTCCGAACAGGCAGGCACCACCTTTTCTGAGTCTGCGGTGCAAGCCAGGCACAGCGAGGGCTCCAGCCTCACATCCGCCCACAAAACACAGAGATGGCCTTGCTGCAGTGCTGTGCTGGACCCAGAGAGGCCTCCACGCCCGGGCCTGCCCTTCTTCCTGCCTTTCTCAGGATCGCGTTTCTACATGAGGATCTGGAAGCACTGGTAGCCTTCATGAGGCGTGTGGATGCCATCTGGGACAGGAGCCAGCCTGCCCAGCACCAGCCCGCGGCATCACTGGAGACGGGCTCCCTCTGCCTGACGTCCTGCTCTCCTCTGTAACGTGCTCTCCTCTTCCCCAGGGGGAAGGACATGCACCCTAAACATTCGGGCATACCAGCAACACCCTGTCTGCTCAGCAACCTCCAACGCCAGGAGAGACCTCTGAACCCAACAGGACCAAACAGGCACTTACACAATCCAAATCTAAGTTGCCTGACTTTCCCTCAGAAAGATAACAGAACCTCGTTTTTTGGGGTTTTTTTTTCAGAGAAGTCCTGGCTCTTGGCCTTCCTCGGCCAAAGCATCTTAGAATGAACAACTTGTCAAGGAACTTAGAGCCCAAAAAAACACCTCCTTGCCAGCAGCAAGATGTGACAGTCCATAATTTTACCCTCAGGTAGGAGACACACAACTATGAAACGCAAACACAAGATCAACGCAGCCATAAGGCCAGCCCTGGAGCCCCCCACCTTCTGGAGTCCCTGAGTGCTTTGGTTGCAATGGTCATCCTTGTGGTCACTCAGAGATGCACTGAGTGACAGCCCACCCTGCTGGGTGTGTGCAGTCAGTTGCTATCAGCCCTGCACAGCCCCATGCCATCTGGTGTCACAGCCATGTGCACCAGCTCAAACGGTCACTGCTCAGTGCTCCATGCCCTACATCTGACAGACCCCCTCGGGGTCCCCCTGCTGGGACTGAGCCCCAAGATGGAGGAGGCAGCCTGAGTCTTCTAGAAAAAGCACAACCGGCCAAGCATGGTGGCTCATGCCTGTAATCCCAGCACTTTGGGAGGCCAAGGCAGGCAGATCACCTGAGCTCAAGAGTTTGAGACCAGCCTGGTGAACTTGGCAAAACTTCTCTACTGAAAGTACAAAGATTAGCAGGGGATGGTGGCAGGCACCTGTAATTCCAGCTACTTGGGAGGCTGAGGCAGGAGAATCGCTTGAACCTGGGAGGCGGAGGTTGCAGTGAGCCAAGACCACCATGCCACTGCACTCCAGCCTGGGCGACAAGAGTGAGACTCCATCACTTTAAAAAAAATAAAAGGAAAAGCATGATTTCTTGTGAATTCTGCTTCAGGTGACATGATTTCAGAACATCTTCCATCCCAAATAGCTTACAAGAGTCACTTAAAGAGAAAGTTAGTCGGGAAAGCTTGTTTACATGTTTATTCTTTATGCGTCATGGGTTTTGAGTAGCGCATTATTTAATGACCGTTTTATTTGCATTTGTATTTGTATTTTTGAGATGGAGTCTCACTCTGTTGCCCAGGCTGGAGTGCAGTGGCACAATCTTGGCTCACTGCAACCTCTGCCTCCCAGACTTAAGCTATTCTCCTGCCTCAGCCTCCTGAGTAGCTGGGATTACAGGTGCCCACCACCATGCCTGCTAATTTTTGTATTTTTAGTAGAAATGGGGTTTCACCGTGTTGGCCAGGGTGTTCTCGAACTCCTGATATCAGGTGATCCAGCCGTCTCAGCCTCCCAAAGTGCTGAGATTACAGGCGACAGCCACCGTGCCTGGCCTTAATGACTGTTTTAAATCATCATCTAGAGCTGGGCCCCTGGGAGGAGTTCCTGGGCCTTTGATTCCACTCCTCTGTCTAGTAGGTAAGGAGGACACCACCCTCCTCACTGGCTTCTGAGAAGCCCCCCAGCTCATTCATTCACAGAAAAGTCTAAGTCTTCCAAAATGGATCCCTTCTTAAGGAAAAACCCGAGTGCTACAAGATCCTGAGTTGTCAGAGTCCAGTTTTTTTTTTTTTTTTTTTTTTTTTTTTTTTGAGACGGAGTCTCGCTATGTCGCCCAGGGTGGAGTGCAGTGGCCGGATCTCAGCTCACTGCAAGCTCCGCCTCCCGGTTTTTACGCCATTCTCCTGCCTCAGCCCCGAGTAGCCGGACTACAGGCGCCACCACCTCACCCGGCTAGTTTTTTGTATTTTTAGTAGAGACGGGTTTCACCGTGTTAGCCAGGATGGTCTCGAACTCCTGACCTCGTGATCCGCCCGTCTCGGCCTCCCAAAGTGCTGGGATTACAGGCTTGAGCCACCGCGCCCGGCCCAGAGTCCAGTTTTAATGAAGCAGAAACACACCAGTACCTCCTGACTGGAGAACATGGCATTTGCTACGGGCATGTGCTTGTGCTGGTCATCTGCTTACACTTCCATGACGTTCAACTCACCCTCCAGTTAAGTAAAAGAGGCTGAGAAAGTAGGAGGGTGAGTGAGAAAGAGGCGTGTTAAAGCATCACGATTCCTCTCTCATTGGGAATGCAAAGGGAGAACTCGGATGGGAACCAGTTTTGCCTGGATGAGGATTCTCCCGGATTTCTTCTGCTTGGGTAGGAACAGCAAAACCATAGCAACTCGCATGCAGTTGTCATAGCAACAGCAATGCTTCTGAACTCCTGTTGTCAGGAGAGAAAACAGTTTTTCCCTCGCCTTGTTCCCAGCCTGCCCAAATGGCTGGTTGCAGGGTCAGGGGCTGGAGTGACTGGAGAAGCCCTGACCTCCCTTCTACTAAGTAGGACTCCTCCAGCCGGGATGGCTCTTGGAAGCTGCTCACTAGGACAGCCCCATGAGGCGGACCAGCACGCTGGCATTGCATCTGCTCTGTGGGCCCCAGGAGGGCACAGGGAGTCCTGTGTTGGACAAACCGTGCTCTTGACACCACATCCCAAAGTGAGGACTGCAGGCTGAAACTGCGCTGTGCATGGCCAGCACCACTAGCATCTGCATGGAACATGGACTGTGGGCATCTGGCCTGCATGAGCGTGCTGGAGTCCAGCTTGTAGCCCCAGCCTGTCCCTCCCTCTGCCCGCGCAGCCCTGACCCTACCTCATTGATAGCCAGCTGCTCACCACCCCCTCCAGGGTGGCTGTAGTGGTGGCCGGAGCTGTGCAGGTCATCATACAGGTCCTCCTCGCTCCCCACTTCATCAGCGCGGACAGCTGTGTCCAGAGCTCCATCAGGCATGGCTGGAAGGAGAGACAGCAGCTGGGCAAAGGGGGCTGGGCTGGGAAGGGCTGAGGGGAGAACATGTGGAGAAGGAGCCTGGTGGGTTCAGGACAAACACTCCTTCTGCAGGAGGAGGATGCAGGTTGCAGGGCTAGGTTCTCAAACCATCCTTGCTGCAAACATGTGGCCTGGGTGAAAGAATGCACCATCTCACTCACACCACCACCATTAGTCACCCATCACTCAGTCTACAGCAACTCGGCTGACAAGGGAACACAAGTATTCACCATCACACAGGCTCGAGAGCCCCTTAGGTTGTATTCAGTGACAAACCATTTTCCATTGTGTTGGCTACAGTATAGGCCCTTAGGAAAAATGCTAACATTTTGTTATGCAATATATATGTATGTATTCAAAGAAAATGTACAGTTCCGTATATGCAAATATGGTTTGAAATTTAAGACAATGAACAGTCCTGGTACCCATTACTCTACTTAGGAAAAACACCAGAAACGTGACCTTCCACATCCTGTGTACTCCACTGAGTCCCATTCCCATCTCCTTCCTGTGGAGATATTCAAGAGTTAGAACTTTTAATAAATCATTCCCATGCCTTTGTCTTAGCATTTAGTTCTGTCAGTTATGCTAGGTTTTGACCTTGTCTAAAGGGAGCCAGCAAATCCACTCTTCTCTGGCTGGCTTTTACTCAACTGTGTGTGTAGCTGTGATTGTTTCATTTTCACTGCTGCACAGTCTTGTGCTGTATGAGTCTTTCACATTGTGTGTGTTGGCTGTACTGCTGGAGCAGCGTGTGTCCTGTGTGTGTAGCTGTGATTGTTTCATGTTCACTGCCGCACAGTCTTGTGCTGTACGAGTCTTTCACATTGTGTGTGTTGGCTGCACTGCTGGAGCAGCGTGTGTCCTGTGTGTGTAGCTGTGATTGTGTCATTTTCACTGCCGCACAGTCTTGTGCTGTACGAGTCTTTCACATTGTGTGTGTTGGCTGCACTGCTGGAGCAGGGTGTGTCCTGTGCTGCTGCAGTGGTGCTGCTGGACGGTGTCTGCACGCCTCCTGGGTGTGCGTCAGAGGGTTTCTCTAGGACATTGTTTCTCAACCCTGCTTTCGTGACAGCCCCGCTAAGGAGCACATTATTTTCCTAATCCCTCCCTGCCCCTATGAAATCAATATCACAAATGTATTGTGTATTCCTTATGCAGTGTGGCATTCTGGAGAGCCATAAACCATCATAATAGCTAAGATATTTGCCCAGTTGGGCAAAATCGTCACCCCTGGTGTGAATTCACACTGCTGAGTGTGGATGCCCAGGTGTGTGTGGCCCTGCTGGGTCCTAGGCACACCAAATAGTTTCCCAGAACCTGAAAGCGGAACAAGAATGTTCCATCCCTCCACATCCCAGCCAGCTCTTGAGATTGGCATTATGAGACATTTAAATTCTTGAGTCTAAGGGGTATGAAATAGTATCTTACTCTGATTTTAATTGACATTTCAGATTACTAACGAGTTGACCTTTTATCTATGGGCCATTTATATTTCCCTTTAATGTGAAGTGTTTATGAGTTTTACCCATTTGTCTATTGAATTGCTTATCTTTAACATACCATTGACATAAAATATGTGTGTATTCATGTATGTATGTATACACACACATTCCTTCCCTCACTTCTAGATACCTCTTGTCACTCAGATGTGTCACAACTATCTCCTCTCAGTTTGTGGCTTGTTACTATTTTTAAGGGGCCTTTTGATGAACAGAAGTCCTTAATTTTAATATAGACAAATTTGTCAATCTAGTCCTATTTGGTGTATGTTGTCTGTGTTCTAGGAAATTCTTTCCAACCTCAGTCATAATGATATTCTTCTCTGTTATCTTTTCATGTTTTATAGCTTTCTTTTGACACGTATGCTGTTAATCCACCTGGAAATGATTTTTGTGGTATAGAGTGAGGTTGGAATCCAATTTCTTTCTTCTGTAAGGATAATCAATGGTCTCGGCACCATTCATGGAATGGGCAGTCCTTTCCCATGGACCTACAATGTCTGCTCTGTCCTTGAGTTTCTAGATAGTTGGGTCTGCATCTGGACTCTCTTCTTGCAAGAGGCACAATAATGGTCTCCAAAAGATGAAAAGATGGAATCTCCAGAGCCTGTGAATATGTTATGTTATGTGAGGAATTAAAGAGGAATTAAGGTTGCAGATGAAACCAGGGCTGCTAATCAGCTGACCTCAAAATAGGAAGATTATCTTGGATTATCCACTTGGGCCCAACACAGGTGAAAATATGAACTCTGAAGACGCATTTCACGCACTTCCTCCTCCGTGAGAGTCCCGTCTGTGACTCTTATCTCATTCTCAGGGAGCTTGAGCAGACAACCCTCATGGCAGGAAACACATCTCTGTACCCTGTGTCGGTCTGACTCCCCCCAGCTATACTCTGAGCTCCTTGAAGGCAGGAGCCATGACTTATTCGTTAATGTCAATGTTTAGGAAATGTTAAGTAAGTGAGTAAACAGACGGATGGAAGAAACAGATAAATGGTGATGAAACAGACAAAGAAACCGATGGAAGGATGAACACTTGAACAGATGGAAGCCGGGAGGATGACTGGGGTGGCGAATGGCAAGTTCCTCAAAGGTGGAGCCCAAAGGCCTGGCAGCGCCAACATCAGGAACACAGTTAAAGCTCCACATGCGTCCCCAGAACTGACCTGGGAAACCTCTGGGATATGGTTTGGATTTGTGTCCCTGCCCAAATCTCATGTTGAATTAAAGGTGTGGCCTGGTGGGAGGTAATTGGATCACGGGGGCAGATTTCCCCCTTGCTGTTCTCGTGATAGCGGATGAGTTATCATGAGATCTGATCGTTTAAAAGTGTGTGGCACTTGCCGCTTCACTCACTCTCTCCTGCTGCCATGTGGAGAAGGTGCTTGCTTCCCCTTAGCCTTCTGCCCTGATCTGTTTCCTGAGGCCTCCCTGTCATGCTTCCTGTGAAGCCTGTGGAACTCTGAGCCAATTAAACCTCTTTTTTTCATAGATTACCCAGTCTCAGATAATGTTTCATAGCACTGTGAGAATGGACTAACACACTCTGTCTCCGACCTGGAGGCAGTGGCCAGAGTCCAGCTTGCAAGCAGGAGCTGAGGGCCTATCTCCAAGTCCCTAGGAACACTCAGGATTTTTATTTCATTTTATGTTTAAAAACTTATTATGGAAAGTTTCAAAAGTACACAAAAGGAGAGAAAATCGTATAAGGAACCTTGTATATTCATTGTCCAGCTTCAACAATTCTCAACATGTGGCCACTTTTGTTTCATCATCTAATTCCACTCCCCACTAGATGGTTTTTAGGGCAAATCTAAGATACAATATAATTTCATCTGTAAACACCATAGCGTATGTTTCTGAAACATAAGGATCCCATCTCTCTTTCTTTAAAAAACATAACCACGATCACATCTAAAACAAACTGCAATCCATCAAAAGTTGTCAAATTGTCATACCTTCTCCCCTAGGGCCTTAAAATTCATTTTATTGGCTGGGTGCAGTGGCTTACGCCTGCAATCCCAGCACTTTGGGAGGCTGAGGTGGGCAGATCATGAGGTCAGGAGATGAAGACCAGCCTGGCCAGCATGGTGAAACCCTGTCTCTACTAAAAATACAAAAAATTAGGCAGGCATGGTGGCGCACACCTGTAGTCCTAGCTACTCAGGAGGCTGAGGCAGGAGAACTGCTTAAACCCAACAGGTGGACTTTGCAGTGAGCAGAGATTGCTCCACTGCACTCCAGCCTGGGCAACAGAGTGAGATTCTGTCTCAAAAAAACACCCAAAAAACAAATAAAACATAAAACCGTTTTATTGTGAAATGATTTTAGAGTCACAGGGTATACCACTATAGTACAGAGGGCACTGTGCACTCTCCACCCAGTTTCCGTTAATGGTCTAGCTTTGTGTAAGTCCAGTATGATCTCGCAGCTGAGAACCGGACGTTCGTACAATGTGTGTGCATAGGCGTATGGCACTGTCACCAGTACAGATCTGAATAGCCACCACAGCAACCTGTATGTAGGCTTTTGAGGTTGGCTTTTTCACTCAGCCAAATGCCCTGCACTCTGCTGCTATGTGTATTCATACTTCATTCCTTTTTACTGTTGAGTCATATTCCATGGCATTCCATGGCATTCCATGCCACTGTTGGTTTAACCATTCATCTGTTTAAGGATAGGTGGATTGTTTCCAACTATTCCTATTATGAATACAGCTGCTATGATAATTCACGAGCAGGGGTTTGCATGAACATGTTTTCATTTCTCTGAGATAAATGCCCAGGAGTGTAATTACTGGGTCAGATGGTAGTTGACTACTTAGTTTTTAAGAAACTGCCAAACTATTTTCCAGAGTGGCTGTGCCATTTTACATTCCTGTTACTCTCGATGTCTGAGAGTTCAGTTTCTCTGAATCTTCAGCGGCACTTGGTATTGTCACTATTTTATATTTGAGGCATTCTGATAGGTGTATAGTGGTATCTCATCATGGTGTCAGTTTTCATCTCCTGAAAGGCTGATGATGTTGAACATCTTTTCATGTGCTTACTTGCCATATATCCTCTTTGGTGAAATATCTCTTTATGTCTTTTGCCCTTTTTTTTTTGAGATGGAGTGTTGCTGTCACCCAGGCTGGAGTGCAGTGGCGTGATCTTGGCTCACTGCAAGCTCTGCCTCCTGGGTTCACGCCATTCTCCTGCCTCAGCCTCCTGGGTAGCTGGGACTACAGGTGCCTGAAACCACGCCCGGCTAGTTTTTGTATTTTTAGTAGAGACGGGGTTTCACCATGTTAGCCAGGATGGTCTCCATCTCCTGACCTCATGATCTGCCCGCCTCGACCTCTCAAAGTGCTGGAATTACAGGCATGAGCTACTGCAGCCGGCCATCTTTTGCCTTTTTTTTTTTTTTTTTTTTTTTTTAAGAGATGGGGTCTTGCTTTGTTGCCTAGGCTGGAGTGCA